TTTGGGAGGCTGAGGTGAGTGGATTGCCTGAGCCCGCGGGTTCGAGTCCCACCTGGGCAGGCGAGACCTCATCTCTACAATAAATCAAAAAATTAGCCGAGTGTGGTAGCACGTGCCTGTAATTCCGGCTGCTCGGAAGGCAGAGGCGGAAGGATCGCCGGAGCCCAGCAGGTCGAGGCTCCAGTCTGGGAGTGAGACTCCAACTCAAAAAACAAAACAAAACATTTATTCAACAAGAGATTGACAGGTAGGTGATATTTGTGGGGGTTTGGCCCACAAAACTGTCATTAGCTGAGAGGAAACAGATGAGAGGGACCCTTTTCTGGAGAGCAGGTTAAATTTAGGCTATTATTCAGGCTTAATCTTTCAGTGGCTAATTTATTTTTAACTCTCATTGTACAGTCCTATCTAGGAAAAGTAGAGTGGGAAAGGAAAACAAAAGGGGAAGATAGGGATAAATTTTACACTCTAAAATTGTTAGTGGTAAGACTTGGAAGGGCATGAGCTGTTTTTCTCTAATTTTGAATTTCTTTTTATTCCAAAGAGTACAGGGGCTCAGGTCCAGGTGGCAGGGGATATGCTCCCCAACTCAACTGAGCGGGCCATCACTATTGCTGGCATTCCGCAATCCATCATTGAGTGTGTCAAACAGATCTGCGTGGTCATGTTGGAGGTAAGCCCCAGGCTCATGCTGAGAATGGGGGAAGGGTGATTGTGTGGACAGAGGGACTGGTCTATATTTAGTAAGACTAGAATTAGGTGAAGCTGTTAGGCGCCTCTAATGGGGGTTGGGAAGGAGGTTCCCTGAGTTCATATTTTCCTTCCCCTAGTTTTGACTTTACTTATGGTCTGTGAGCAAAAATAGAAACTGCTATGCAACAGTGATCTTTTGGTTCACAGCAGTTCTAGCAGAGTTGGTAGAGGGAGCATTTGGACTAAGTGGACCAAAGATGCATTTGGGTTCCTGAAAATCTACGTTACCTTTTGAATTACTACTGTACTTTGGTTACATGGAGCTTTGACACATTCTTCAAATTAATTTCTCCCTTTTAAGCAAGGTATTCAAATAGAGAAAATTGCTATGATGGTGTTTCTGAATGACTTATGAAACCTTGATCATATACTATTATTCTATCAAAACAAAACAGTAGCAAAGTTGAGAGAAATTCAGTCTTTAGGTTTATGATAATGGAGGTCTCATTGTTGAGAAAGGAAAGTAAGACTTTCAAGTAGCAATTAGAAAATTTTTTATTGGGCCTTAAAACTATTAATAGATAGTATCTGTATTATCCTAGACACAGCATTTGAATACTTTTATTTCTGATTTTGGCTTTATATTTAGGCCAGAATGTCATAGTCTTAAGATTTACCAACTTAAATGTAACTGTGTACACATAGAGGTTTTCATGTTCATTACATTTATTTAGAAGTAGGAAGTAGTACTAAGATAGATTACTACAAGGGTATCTAGCTTGATGAGAATTAGTGTGAACTGTGTGGTTCTTGACCTTACTATTGATTTAAAGGCATATAGTTGCAGATAACTTGATTAGATCTAGTCAGAGATAACTTCATAGTTGAGGGGATGGAAATGCTAGTTTTTAATTTAACTGACCTGTGTGAGCTAAAGCCACACAGCTGAAGCAGCTTTGAAACCTTATCTCTTTTTGTTTTTTTCCCCTCTGACTCTCTCCCAGTCCCCCCCGAAGGGCGTGACCATCCCGTACCGGCCCAAGCCGTCCAGTTCTCCAGTCATCTTTGCAGGTGGTCAGGTAAGAACATTCTTATTGATGGGCTAGAGTGAACAAAGATTATATTTGAAATGTCAACTTTGCCAGCAGCACTCCAAGCCACTCTGCATGCTTGCTGAAACCTGTACTCTGGCCATAGTTTGACTTGCTTTTGGTTTTTTTTTTTTTTTTTTTTTTTTTTTACTGGAGAAAGCTATGAATGCCTTATTTAATTTCTAGCAGGCATTGGAAGTTTTGTAGGCACTCGGAAGAGGTAATTTATTTTGTAATTTAAGGTGGGTTGGGTTAGAAGAAAAGAGTTAAATTGCCTTGGTGTCACTACTTCTTTCCCTATCCCCACCCCCATCCATGCTTTTATATGTGTGGGGTGATCTTTAGAGGTCTGAATAAAGGCAGCAAAGAGTTGGACCTCTGAAGGAAATTCTGGATGGTGGTCTCAAAATTGGGGGGTCCTGAACTTGAGTGTCCTACAAACTTCCCCTTCCCTCCACCTCACCTCCCCTACTCCTACCCCTTCACTCCCAAACTCCAGTGTGTTGTCCCCTAGGCTTTTAACCTCGTAAACACTGGTTTGAACTCACATGGAGTCAGCGTGTAAGAATAGGAGGGGGAGATCATGTTGGGCTGTGGTGCTGTGACCTTCGGTGTTAGAGGAAGAACACCAAAGCACCCCCTTGGCCTTTCTCTGCTTCTTCCTCACCACCCTGAATTCTTGATCTTTGGCACATGGTTTATTCTGAAGTTAGATTTTTGTGACAAGAGCATTGATCAGCACCATGGCAGTCTTATACTTGGTTGGTTTGTATTTGAGGAGTAGGTAGGTCAGTTGTAAAAATACAGTTGGCCCTTTGTGTCTGTGAGTTATGGATCTGTGGATTCAACCCATGTCAGAATGAAAATATTCAAAATAGGGTGGTTGTATCTGTACTGAACGTGTACAGAATACTTTTTTCTTGGCATTATTCCATAAATAATACAGTATAACAACTGCTTACATAGTATTTACATTGTATTAGGTACTGAAAGTAACCTAGAGAGACTCAAGTATATATGAGGTTAAATGCAAGTACTACACTATTTTATAAAGGACTTGAGCATCCGTGGATTTTTGTATCTGGGAGGATCCTAGAATCAATTCCCCATGGATACTGGGGACGACTAGGGATGACTGTGTTGGGATTCAGGGTGAAATAGTGACTTTCGTTTTGGTAGTTGCTGAAGCCAGTGCATTACTCAAAACACCTTTTTCCACTTGGGGCTGGCCAGTTGCAAGCATATTCAACTAGTTCTCTTACTTGTATTTGATTTTGGAGCCATTTAGAGGGGAACTTGGAGTCCATCTCATTCACATTCTATAAGTGGCATACAACTGTACAAGTTTTTGGGGATTTTGCTTGTCATGTAGTTTTGGGTGCTTTCAGAAGAAGTTAATCATGTCACAGTTATTGAGACAGTTTAGTATCTTACTTTTAGTACTAGCATTGTACAAACTGGTTTGGTCAAAGGGCTCTCAGGATAGGCAGGCAGGGTAAGCGAAGGCCCAGAGTCAGGGTAGTCAAGAGCGGGGTTAGCCTTAGGAGTAGGAGTTTTCTCCTGAGGAACTCCAGGTTCCTGCTCCTCTGGATTCTCCCACTCCCATTTGCTGGGTGGCAGCAGTCCTCTCTACTTAAGATTCTTCCTTTACTTTCCTTTTTTCCCTCCCCATTCTTCCTGCCCCTTCATACCTCTTTGCTTCCCTTCCCATCCCTCCCTCCCCTTTATTTAGTTGACCACCCTCTAAAAGCTTCCAGCTTCTTCTGTGAGTGGCCCTGTCATGGATCATTCCCGTGGGCCTTTTTAAATGGACCAGTTCATACAGTGTCCACAGATGGACCTGTGTCTTTTGTTCCTTTGTGGCAAAGTGGGCTCTGTAGGGGTTCAACTTAATCCCACACTGACCAGGAGCTGGCGTCAGCTCTGTTGCCTTACCCCTTCATTCTTACTGAAAATAGCCCAATTGTGCAGTGTGAAATCTGCCACTAGGTAACTTTTTTTTTTTTAATTCACTGATTGCAGCTCGTTTCAAATTGTGTCGTGAGCTCCTTTTTAAAGGAAAAAGGAAAAAAAATAAACAACTTTTTTTGTGTGAATTTCATGCTGGTGACAAGGTGCCGGATTGACAGCCCTGGAGACTGAAATCCTCTATTTATCCACAGGACAGGTACAGCACAGGCAGCGACAGTGCGAGCTTTCCCCACACCACCCCGTCCATGTGCCTCAACCCTGACCTGGAGGGACCACCTCTAGAGGTGAGAGGGGATGTTCAGTCTCCAAGGCTCACTCAATCCTTCCGCCTCAGCCGAGACTGCCAACACGCGGGGGGCCAGTGGCGCTGGTGATTTTTGTGCTGTGGACACCACCTGTCCACGGGGACCTGGACTGACCCCCCACACCTCATTTCACACAGGCCGCGTAGCCCACCAGATGGTAACACCAACTTTTTTTTTTTTAATTTTTTTTGTTCAACCCTCTTCTCCCTCTCCCACTCCTCCCACCCCATTTTCACCTTCCTTCCACCCCCACCTGGGTGCACTTTTGGGGGTACTGGCCACTGTGATGTGAGAAGCTTCACATCCTGTTAACCAGCCACTCCTTCCTTCCCCACCCTTCCTGTTCCCTTTCCTTTCCTCCTTGTTCCCACCCCATTGCCCTGGAGACCCAGCTCCCTTTTTGGGAGGTTATGGTGTGGGGGGAGGAGGGCATAGTGGGAGCTGCAAGTGCCTATTATGGAGGGGAGGTGGGAGAAGGCAGGACTTAGAATACAGTGGATTTTGTATTTCTGTGGCGAGCTCCCCAGTGTTAGGGACCCAGCTAGCTTCCAGTGTACTAAGGTCTTTAGGAAGATGTAGCGCGAAGAATTGGATAGGGAAAGGGAAGTGTTTTAAAACATGCCATGTAGGTTTGTGCAGATAAAAATCTTTCATGATACTACAATTGGTAGGAGGGTTGGGGTGGTGTGGGAAGAGGACCACTATTCCTCCTAGGATATCTGGTGTACAGGGAAGAAGAGTGGGGCTCGGTCCATCGAGGCATTGCATAATCTCACTTCCCACAATCTCATTAAGAAATAGATATGCATATCTTGCCTTTGATTGCAGGGAATGTGGCTACCTTAGGATCCCCGGAATAAAGTCATATTTAGGGTTCAAAGAAGGCCAACTTGGGTCTGACTGTACTTGTGAGATTCCATCTATTGCCTCAATTCCCAGCCTCCCCGTTCTCTAGTTCAACTCTGGCTTCCTGGCTAGTTGAAATCTGTCTTTTACTCCCCACTGGGTGGCTGTCCGTGATTGGTTTTTAATAGGAACTGTTTTCCTCCTTTTGTAGGCCTATACCATTCAAGGACAGTATGCCATTCCACAGCCAGATGTAAGTTTTGTTTTCACTTCTTGTTTTGAAAAGCTCCCTCTCCCATTCAAAATAGTCTTATGCTTTTCTCCCAAGTAATGAGAAGTGAGTTGGGTCTTAAACATTTGCAATAGTAAGTTGTTTATCTCACAAAGTGAATCCCATATTTTGACCCTTAAATATAATCTTTAATCAGGCATAGTAGAGCGTTCACCTTTTGACATTTAACCCTTGGAAATTATAATTCAGCAGATCATTAGCTTTTCTCCTGTTTTTATTGATAACTCTGTTAAAGGAAAAATATTCCATGGAATACTGTAATTTGTTATCTCAAGGCACAGTTTAAATTGACATTAGACTGTGCTTCCCTAAATGGAGTGCTCCTTTTCATGGGGGGAGTGGGAGGTTGGGCTTGCCCTTGGGTAATCCTGAATCTGAGGTGACAATTTAAGAAGTATTTGGAGGGGTGGGTAAAAGGCTTGTTTACATAAGGAAGGATAGGAAACTAAACATTTGGGAATTCAACTCAGACCTTTCTTGCCACTAAAAACTTCTATTTAAAGTGCTGGTATTTGGACTTTGTTTAAGGGTTCTTTCTGCACTTTTCCTTTATCCTTACTAACCTTTTCAGGTGCTGATCATTAGACTTGGGAAGTTGAGTTTGGCTCTTGGTTAGTGATAGGCCCCAGGAAAGGAGGAAGTAGACCTGAAGAGGGATTATTCTGTAACAGCCAGGATAGTTTATATAGATGAAAATAGCTGTAGAAGTCAATGGTGGTGGTGGTGGTGGGACTAAATCCAGTCAGTTTGGTTTCTTTTTAACCTCTCTCCTCCTTGCAGTCTCCCTGCCCCCCCATCTCCTTCCCTCTCCCCAGTACTGATGAAACCCTGCATGGTGTGTTTTCCCTAGCACCACTGCACAGTTTGTTTACCTAGCCTGTCTGTGCTTGTCCCTGGGGCAACTGTTGCAATGGCTGCAGTCACCTTCATTAAATAGCCCACAAGAGGATGGTTGTTGGGCAAGTGCTGTTGCTTTTCACACACCCAAAATGCATTCATTCTCTTAGACTGACACCCTTTCTATTTCTAACCTTTACCCTTCATATTCTGCCCATCCCCAGGATGGTGATGTCAGCCCCATCCCTATCCTCTGTTGTAGTTTGAGTAGTAGAGTTACCTTTGGGGATCAGGAGCTCTGCATTTTCAAAGTTGAATGTGCTTGAGCCCTGGTTCTGTTACTCTTCTAATGCCAACCTCTCTTGTTTCTTCCTTGCAGTTGACCAAGCTGCACCAATTGGCAATGCAACAGTCTCATTTTCCTATGACGCATGGCAACACCGGATTCAGTGGTATGGATACCTCAGTGTTTATTTTTGTAAGGTGTAGTGCAAGAGAGAGGCCAGACCCAAGGTCTCAAATTGACATCTGTTTTAAAACAAACTTCATTACCCAGCATCCTGCTGGTTTAAACTTGCCTGTCTACTATGGCTAAGCCCAAGGAGGTAATGTGTTTGTTAACGTGGTTTTCATTCGGGGTTAGTTGTTCTAAAAGAAAAAAAAAGGCCCTGGAAGGTTTGGGGGTGAGGTCTGGGGATGCTTGTCAGGTAAAGGGTAGGCTGATATTTCTTTGAACCCATCCTGACTGCTGCCCCCTTGATCTGATCAGCACCCCCTTCTCTCCACCAGCTATTCACAGGCTTGGGTAGAGACCATCCATTTGTGCCAAATTGTGTAGTGTTTTTTTGTTTTTGTTTTTGTTTTGTTTCTGTTTTTGGGGCTTTTCTGTATAAGGAATAACTTGTCCGATAGGGTTAGGATGAGACCACCAAACTCATTTTCACTTGTATCTTAACAGGCATTGAATCCAGCTCTCCAGAGGTGAAAGGCTATTGGGGTAATGATTAAAAAAAAAAATCTGTAGTATTCTACTGTTATATTAATAAACTGGTGGGAGTCTTGTTTCACTGCCCATGAACCATACCAGCAACATGCACATGGCAGAGAGGAGCTGAGAGAGCAAAGGGGTGGGCCTGGTGCCCCAGAGGGTCCCTTGATGGATCTGGCCAACCCCTTTCTAAATATATTGAGACCAGCAGCCACAGCTGAGAGCAGGACTAAGCTTGAGGATTTAGCCAGCTGGCCTGGTTCATTCCAGGTGTTGTTATTTGCTAATGGGATTTTTTTTTTCCTTTTTCTTTGGAAAATAAAATAAAAACCAGAACAAATTATTGAACATAAGACAGGGAATAAATCTGGAGAAATGAACTCCCCTCACCTGACTGCCATTTCATTCTGTCTGACCTTGAAGTCTAGGTTAGGAGGATGGGGTGGAGGGTGTTAATCTGATACAGGTTTATTTAAAGCAACTCTGCATGTGTGCCAAAAGTCCATGGTACCCATTAGCAGGCATGGTATTGGCACTGGTGCTAGTGAGCATCAGGTGAGATAAAATTTGGAACACAACAGCAGAAAATCCTAAGCAGAAAAGGGATAGAAATATAGAAGGACTTGTTTAGATTTTGGTCCTGTTTGAGGATACTATACTCCCTTGCCCCTTGCTTCCATCTCCCATCCTTAATAGGCTGGGCTTTGCAGGAAATGGCATGAAATCAGCTCTTCTGAGTGTACAGAGGAATCTTTTCAGCATTATTTCTATACCCTTCTCCCCATTCTTTCCTCTTTGGAGGCTTCCAAGTTAGTGATGAATCCCAACAGCCAATGCTGGGTTTCCAGTTTATTTCCTTCTGTTAGTTTAATGTGCAAATCAGTGGGATTTTGATTGCTGTGCATTGAACTTTCTTGCTCTCTTCTGTCTTTTAGCAGGTTTGGATGCATCTGCTCAGACTACTTCTCATGAACTCACCATTCCAAATGATGTAAGTGTAGTTAGGTTGCATGGGATGAAATAGGAGAATTGGTTTTAAAGAAATAGAGGTCTTTTCAGCAGTGTCCTGCTGTTTTAATCCCTAGGGAAAGAAAAGGGGAGTTTTTAGGCTGTTGCGGTGAATCTCACTTGTAATCCCAGTACTTTGGGAGGTGCAGGGGAAAGGATTGCCTGAGTTCAGGGGTTCATTTGAGACCAGCCTGAGTAACATGATGAGACCTCATCTCTACAGAATTAAAAAGTTAGCTGGACGTGGTGGTGCAACGCCTGTGGTTCCAGCTACTTGGAAGGCTGAAGTGGAAGAATCGCCTGAGCCCAGCAAGTCTAGGCTACGGTGGCCTTGAGCCTGCCACTGCACCCGGCCTGGGTGACAGAGTGAGACTCTGACTCAAAAAAAAAGAAAAATGGGAGTTTTTAGATATGAAAATAAGTTTTTTAAAGTATATAAAATTCTGACTGCAAAATTGATAGCGAAAGTTTATAAAATTATTGGGTGAGACATCACGAGACAGTAAGAAACTTTTTGTGAAATAGAAATTCCCATTTGCCTTTGTTTCTTATAGAATCTGAAGTCTTTTTTTTTTTTTTTTTTGAGTCTCACTCGGTTACCCAGGCTGGAGTGCAGTGGCACGCTCACAGCCACCATAGCCTTGACTTGTTGGGCTCAGGTGATCCTTCCACTTCAGTCTTCCTAGTAGCTGGAACCACAAGCATGCACCACCATGCCCAGCTAATTTTTTGATTCATTGTAGAGATGAGGTCTTACCAAGTTGCCCAGGCTGGTTGAACCTGTGGGCTCTGGCAGTCTCTTGCCTTGACCTCCTGAAGTGCTGGGATGCACCTGGCTGAATCTGAAGTCATAAAACCTTTTCTATTTTTCGTAGAGGTCTCAGTGTGTTGTCAAGGCTTGACTCCTCCTCTTCTTGGCCTTCCAAAGTGCTGAGATTATAGGCATGAGCCGTTGTGCACAGCCTTACTCTTTTTTGTTTTAGAGTTGGAGTCTCATTCTATCACCTAGACTGGAGTGCAGTGGCACACTCATGGACCACCGCAGCCTCGACCTGCTGGCCCTAGGTGATCCTTCTGCCTCAGTCTTCCAAGTAGCTGGAACCATAGATGCATGCCACCACGCCTGGCTAATTTTTTGATTTACTTCAGAGACGAGGGCTCACCAAGTTCCCAGGCTAGTCTCGAACCCCTGGGCTCAGGGAGTGCTCTCGCCTTTGCCTCCCAAAGTGCTGGGATTACAGGCGTTAGCCACTGTGTCCGGCTCAACTAATTTTTTTTTTTACCAAGTCAAAAATGCCTTAAAAGTTAGAATTATTGTCAGTATAGTAAGGTGGTATCATGGCAGGATGAGTTTAAGCATCTTTGCCAGAATGTACCTTTACCTTTATGTATTCCTAGGTGTCTAACTAGGTTTACTATCATCTAGACTCTGATTTATTTTGTCTTTTGGGCTTACTACTCTGAAAATAGATATAATGAATTAATGCTTGGATCGGTGAGTTGCTAGCTCATAGTTGGCTCTCCGAGTGGTCAGATAGAAGAAAGGGTCAAGAGGTAAGATGGGATCTATAACTCAAGTATTTTGATCAGAAATACATGGGTAAAGAGTGAAGGATGAAACTGGGCACAGTGGTGCACACTTAAAATTCCAGGTGCTCTGGGGGCTAAGCCAGGAGGATGGCTTGAGTCCAGAAGTTGGAGATTAGCCTAAGCAATATAGCAAGACCCTGTCTCAATTTTTTAAAAAATGTAGGATGCAGCAATTCCATTGCCTTGTTCTGGGACCCAAGTTTTAGAAGCTAGAGGGATGGGAAGGAATTCTTTGACCTAGTCATGCAACTCTAATTAGTTTATCCTGTTTTTCTCTTTTAAGTTGATTGGCTGCATAATCGGGCGTCAAGGCGCCAAGATCAATGAGATCCGTCAGATGTCTGGGGCGCAGATCAAAATTGCGAACCCAGTGGAAGGATCTACTGATAGGCAGGTTACCATCACTGGATCTGCTGCCAGCATTAGCCTGGCTCAATATCTAATCAATGTCAGGTAAGGTTGCCCTGTGTTTTGTTTTACTAATGCCAACACAGTAATTGTGTGTGTTGGGGAAAGCTTCAGTGTATTATTAAATATGAGATTACTTGGGGGATGGGTAGAGGTGGCCTCAAAAAGTTTGCTTTTGCTAGCCTTACTCTTTCATTTTCAGTGTAGCAGAGAAAGTAAGCAGATTGCAATAATTTTGCATGGGGCAGGAATGTATTGGTTGCTTGCATTTTGACTTTTGATGGTTTGGGTAATGGAAGGGATGGCACATATCTTTACTAGTAAGACAGTCCTCTGGCTAGAGCACTCATACAAAACATGTCATTTAGACCAGTATTTCTTTCACTGTTTTGATTTGGGATCCAAAGGATAATGAAGTAATGAGACAGCAAGGCAGTTTCTTGGAGGTAGCCATTACCATTCTTAAGACAACCATTTTTCTCAAATTGCAAATGTGTTTCATTGTTCAGAGCTTGTGGGAAGGGGGAAAGCACAGATATTGGAATGTGTGTTTTCTATCTCACCTTCCCATGGTCTCATCCTTTCATGTCTTCCTAAGGTTTTATTTCCCTTATCCATAACTCACATCATGTTACTACACTAAAAATGCAGGACACTGTTCACAGCCAAATGAGCATTCTTATAGGGTGTTTACATTTCTTGCTTTCTCAGCTCATAGGCTTAAATCACAGCCTTAATTGCTTACTAACCTTTTAAAAGCAGTGTTAGCCCATTTCCCATGGGCTTTAGTGCTATACCTTTATGGAGAGTATAGTCTAGTTGTCAGTTACCTATAACGATTCTTCTTTCTCTTTATCATAAAAGTTTTACATGAGTTCCTGAATCTAGTACAGGAGAAAGGACTTCGTTAAGTTTGAAGTCTGTATTGTCGTGCATATAGTGACCATGTATGCCATGGACTTTTAGCTCCTGGTTAAGAAGATATCAATTCCCTGGTTCTGACTCTTGCCTTGCCTTTAGTCTTTTTCATGCCTGAGGGTACTAAGTCTTTTTGAAAAAAGGCTTATTTCTGCATCTTTTTTCTTGTTTGTCTCCCAAGCACATCAAGTCCTTAATGTTCAGAATGAATTAGCAGTAGTAAGCTTTTGTACAGAGCCTGTATGCAAATAATTATTTTCTTGTTTCTAATTGGGATTTTTCGAGGGGGAGTTTTAAGTGGCAAAAATCATGTTCTTGGAAGCTGAAGATTTTCTTCTGCTTTGGGTAGGCTTGACTTGAATATAGTTTAAGTTGTAACTGTTGAAATGTGACCTGCTTGCCTGGCCCCTGTGCTAGGTCAGTGGCTGCATTGTACAGAAGCAGAACGTCTTTGCTTAGAGTTCTCTTTTCAGGATCATTCTTAATGAATGACTATTCAGGACCATCCTAGTTGATGAAACTCTCCAAGCCATGGATTTGGGTCAAAACTTTTTAAAGTTTCATTTAACACCAAATCAAGGACTACATATGCACAAAGCTTATTCTTCACTTTCTCATCTTGGTACAGTCTTAATGAAGAAATCTAACTTAAAAAATGGTTAATACTAGGCAAATACTTTTATTAATAGATTCTGAGCATTTCTGCTGTCTCTTGAGTTTTCATAATTGCTGTCTGGGTGCTTTCTATAGTTTGTTAGCTTCTGTATCCCCTTTCTTTATGGATTACAGTTGTCTCTGGACATAGGTAAACAAAATGGTGTCTTAAAAGAAGCCTTTCTGTCCTTGAGGACTTGGCTTTGTGGGGATGATTGTCCAGACAAACTATAGCAAATATCTGTAGTTCTGGCTTAGACATGTACAGCCATTTGGGAGATGTGGATTCTTACTGTTACTTGGAGCTTATTTTAGGAGGAGAAGCAATGTTTTTGCTTTATATGTGTGAGTTTTTAGATAGTACTTGAGTTTTTCTCTTCTACTTCTAAAAGATCCACACTTGGAATTATGATTAGTCAAAAACAAAGAACCTTTTATACCACCTCCCACTAGAAAATATTCCCTGGTTCTTATCTATGCTTCTGTTCTTAGCATTTTTCTTTGAAAATGCTACATTCTTTAAAATTTGAAATTAGTAAGTGACCTACTTTGGACTCTTGTCTCTTTCCATCCTTACTAGTTTATTTGCTGTGGAGTTATAAGCACATTTTAATTTTGACTACTTAGGGAAAACAATTTTAAAGAAGTCTGCTGGTAAACAAAGCTTTACAAGTAGTTGCTGAATAACTGATTATCCACTGGAATGGGAAATTGACATTTGATTGGAGGAAACATTTCTTGTTTGGAGATTGATGAGTACATTTGGGTTGGGGTCATTGTGTCAGATACATAGAAGTATGTGCTTTGTGTGATTTATTTTCTCACTCTGCCAGCCTTTTCTTTACCTTAGCAGTTTTAAATAACATTGCAGAAAGAAGGTGGCAAAGTATATGTATTTAGAGGGTGGGACACAGGCTAAAAGAGAGACAGCTTGCAACAAGTTGATGTTAGGTCTTTCTAATTGGCAACCAGAGGCACTTACTGATATAACTGAAGCGGTTTTTGTCCTGTACTTTTTCCCTTTTGTGGTCTTCCCTTCCACCCACCCTTTTTTTTTGTTCCTTTTTTCCTCTGTTACAGTTTAGAAAACGCTAAACCCTCCTCCCAGGCAGCCTCCGTCACGATCCCTGATCACCTCAGCATCAACCTCTCTCAACCCTCCACCCCTTCTTCTTCTTCTTCCTCCTCCACCACCACCCCCTCGCTCGCCACAGCGGGGACCTCCGACGCACCCTCCAGCCTCCCCAACCCTCTTCCGACCGCCCCTTGTGTCTCCAGTCTGCTTGGCATGAAACCCATCCCTCTCCTGGCTCTAAATGTTGTGTCTGCTGCTAAGGGTACCGGGGCTTCAGCTACCACCACCACCACCTCTGCCGTGCCATGTGTAACTAACAAACTGAAAGGCGAGAAACAGAGATTCTCTCCCTACTGATTGCATATATCTTGGGGCACCTCAAGTATTTCTTGGTTCATTTTGTTTTTCTTTGTTAACATTGGTGAGAACCAAATTATTGTGAGCTTGTGACAGTTTCCTTTTTACTACTTTGGGGGGATAACTGGGTGGGGGTGGGGGCAATGTTTAGGTTTAGGCCTTTTCAGCTGAGTGCCTGTTTCAGAGTCTGACTTGTTGAATTCTTTATCTAGAGCCACAGTTCTTGCTCTTCTTTCTCTTTGTTACCTTTTCTTTGTAGCTTTATTCTGCCTTGCGATAAAACATTGTGTTAGGCTCTGTGTTAATGAATAAAAGCTTCTTCGTTATCCTTTTTTATTAAAAAAAAAGTTATTTAATGGTTAAGCTATCAGCAGGCCTTCTTGGCCGGATTTGTGTTTCTGGCTGTAATAAAGTTGCCACCGTAAGAACCTTAGTTCACCGTGTGCTGTGAAGGGTAAAGGGGTGGGAGCTTGTGACTTGTGGCTGTTCAACTAGGAAGTCTATACAACTGACTTGGTACTTTTGTATCCCTGGTTAATTTATAATTCTTAGTCAATATTCCCACAAAAAGATATGGGCCTGTGACAGTTCAGATCCTGAGGGTTCTATGATTGACAAGAATCTGCTTTTCAGATCCCTTACCTTGCCCACATTTGCAGGGTGTCCATCCCAGGATACTGTTTGCTCTGGTGAACGGTTACTTTGAGAATCTCTTCCAAGGCATATATATATGTAACCCAGAATTGTAGGGGGAGGGGGTGGCAAAGTGTGATAAGTTTAAAATTAGGCAGCTTTTGTCTGCAGTCCTCTGAACTAGCTTCACTCCTCTTACTGTGACATTAGGTAGATTCTGAATAAGCAACCAGTGACATTGCCCAGAACTTGACAGGATGCTGTCCAGTCATTCAGCCAATTTTTTGGTATTCCCTACCCTACCCTTCTCACCTCCAACAGTATGTAGTAGGAAAATACATGCTTAGGTTTAGAAGAAACCTTTAACTACTCTTAACTCATTGATCCCCTTATTTAACAGATTAAAAAATCCTGGGCCCCCCAGCATAATGTAAACATTGGGAGGCCAACGTGGGAGGATCACTTGAGGCCAGGAATTCGAGACCAATTTGGGCAACAAACTGAGACCCTGTATCAGCCCTCCATCCCCAAATAAAAAAAATTAGCTATGTGTGTGCCTGTTGTCCCAGCCACTTAGGCTGAGGCAGGAGAATTGCTTGAGCCTAGGAATCTGAGGCTGCGGGTGAGCCATGATAGTGCCACTGTACGTCAGCCTTGGGGACTGAGTTAAACTGTCTTAAAAAAGAAAACACTGCCAGGTGGATTGGCTTAAGCCTGTAATCCCAGCACTTCAGGAGGCTGAGGCAAGAGGACTGCCTGAGCCTCAGGGGATTGAGACCAGCCTAGGCAACTTGATGAGACTTAGTCTCTAAAATAAATAAAAATCAGCTGACATGGTAACGTTTGCCTGTAGTTCTAGCTACTTTGAAGACTGAGGCAGAAGGATCGCCTGAGTCCAGCAGGTTGAGGCTGTGGTGGCCATGAGTGTGCCACTGTACTCCAGCCTGGGTGACAGTGAGACTCCAACTGAAAAAAAAAAAAAAGGAAAATACCAGGTGCAGTAGCTCACACATGTATTCCCAGCACTTTGGGAGAATGGCTTGGGCCTAGGAGTTCAAGACTAGCCAGGGCAACATAATGAGCCCCTCCCATGTGTAATTAACAAATAAAAATACTGATCCTAGGAGAATTTACATTCATAGGTCATGTGAGTGACTAGCCAGTCATTGAGTAACCAACAACTTGTATTTTACTCAGCCATACTGAACTCCCTGAAGACTTATTCATTTTATCATTCCAAGATAGGCACATCTCTCATAAGTGTAGAAGTGCTCTAAGAACAGTGGTAGAAGAACTCTGGTATTCCTCCATTCTGCCAGAGCACAACATTGCTACAGTGCTGAAAGTAAAATGCTCTACCTAGGGCATCACAGAAATCAGTGGAGATATTTTCCCTGATGTTCTTTAACCACATACCCTTTGGTTGACATTTTTTTTTAAATCATAAATTTAATCAGTATATTGTCATTCTCTGATGTTATTGTGGCACCTCCATCCCAGGTGGGGTGTATGAATTAATGTTACATGCCCCAGGCCTGCATGAAAGACTGGTACAAGCCGGGCTCGGTGGCTCAGCCTGTAATCCCACGCTTTGGGAGGCTGAGGTGAGTGGATTGCCTGAGCCCATGGATTCGAGACCTGCCTGGGCAACTTTGGGAGACCTCATCTCTACAATAAATCGAAAAATCAGCCAGGCATGGTAGCGCGTGCCTGTAGTTCCAGCTACTCGGAAGGCTGAAGCGGAAGGATCGCCGGAGCCCAGCTGGTCGAGGCTGCGGTGGCCGGGAGCAACCACTGCACTCTAGTCTGGGCGACAGAGTGAGACTCCAACTCCT